AAAGAGCTAAGAAAAACCTCTAGACTCAAATTCATGTTAAAGTTTACCTCAGACTAACTTTTTAGTGCATAAAGACACTTCTGGTTTTAGCAGTTAAAGAGAATACCTTAACAGTCTAAACAAAAGCATAAGTTTTGCCCTTTAAAGATGCATGACCTTCTTTTTTATGTTATGACAACAAACAATTTTCCACTGAAAAGTTTTTTTCCCCAAAGTGAAACATTCTCATTATTGTGGACAAAAGATGAACTACTTTTCAAGTTTTAAATATATAGAATTTCTAATTTCTGTCAGAGCAGAAGCTGTGTTACAGGATAACAATTAGTACCTTGCTGAAAAGGGCTGGCTGCAGTCACAGTAGTTCCTGGATTTCTTCCAGCACCAGGCTTTCTTCCCCTCTGACCTGAGCTGTGACCTGCAGATTTCTTCCCTTTGCTCTCTGACCCTCTAGCCTCTGAAGAATCTTTTCCACTTGAAATGTGTGTAGGAACTTCCTGGAAATTTGCATTTGTGAATCGAGCTGTGGTATCTTCCAATCGCTTCAAGGAGCCTGACATGGAGTTGTTGCTAGTGCTTGTGTATGTCTAGTATTTTGATAAGAGAGAAGAAACAAAAGAAACAGGTCACACAAAAAAACTTTAACAAAAGAACTGTGTAAAAGACCCCATTCTTTCAAACAAGCCTAGAAGTGTGTGAAAAAGTAACTGCCAACAGCAGGAGATACAGAAATTTAACTGTGAAGATTCTCAGCAAACAACTGAAGTACATAAAGCTTCATTTTGTGGAAAAAAAACCCTGCATAAAACTAATGGCTTTGGTTAACATTTTTATCTCACTGAGGCCAATGGACCATTATGATATCTATGGTTACACACTCATTATATTCTATTTATATAGGATACTGTTATTTCATGCTTAAAATTAAAAGCTAAACTTCAAATGCTTTCCTGAAAATACAAAGCATCTTTTTTTGTGTTGAAGGCTTCAGAACATAAGAACTTGCATTTTTAAGACTTTATAGTCTCAACACCAAACCAAAATCAAGCCCAACAAGCTCACCTGTCCCTTATGTCTTCCCTTCCCATAATCCCACTAGGACCCTCTGCCATCTGAACCATCCCATTCAGCCAGTTCCTTAAGTACCAGCAAGTAAAGAAGACACATGAGACCAAGTTGGCCAAGACACAATGACAGGCTACCTACTTCACAAACCTGCTGACAGGAAGGAAAAGGAAAACAGACTCTTGAGCTACCAATGCAAACTTCTTCCTCAACCCTCATCTACCCCCAAAAATTTTGACCCTTCTCCTACACTCATACACTCTTCACAGAGCTTTCAACAATTTTCTCCATTTTTCTTTTGTTAACTCCTGTCAGAATTGTTCATATTGGTGAATAATAGTCAAAAGAGGTTCACAGAACATACTCAGGTGGGCAGGGAAACTGCATGCACAACCCCAGGAAACCATACAAAGGAATATAATTGTTCTCATGACTAAATGTACTAGTTTGAAAGCAAACCAGTGAGAGACTCCAAGTCAGAAATAGAATTAATAGGGAAAACAAAAAGAAAACAAATACAACGGTACAAAAAGAAACCACTGACAGAGTCAGAAAGCAATCTAACACCCTGTCAGTCAGGGTGTTGGTTGCAGTCTGATTAAATGGTGCTGCAGTCCTCCTGGAGTGATGGGTCTGTTGGAGCAGTGATCCTGTAGATCTGGTCTTCACCTGAGGGTTTAGTGGTAGCTTTTGTCCTC